AGCATCATGAGGACACTGAAATAATTGTACAAAAATTAATATAAATTATAATATAATATAATATAAAAATTAATAAATTATAATATATTGTAAGATAATTATAATTCCAATACAAATATTATTTTTAAATATCGATTAAAATATAAGAAAATGATTCTATAAATCTAAAGTTTTATTCTAAATTTTTTTGGTTAAATATAAATTTGAAAACAGAATTTATCAGTTTTACTTAAAAAAAAAAAAAAAAATCAAAAATATAAGATTTTTTCCAAAAATGAAATGTTATGTTAAATCTACGTAAAAAAAAAATTAGAACATTTAATTTAATTTTAAAAAACAAAGGAAACGATAAAAAAAATAATATGAATTAATATTTTATATAATTTTTTTGATTGTAAAAAATTTTTAAATTTAAAAAAATATTGATAAACGATTTTTCAGATATTTTTATATTTTTACAAAACGTTATTTATTTAATAAGAATTTATTATTTTGTAGAATTTTTTAGAAAAAAATTAACATTTCTAAGAAAAAAATTATTAAAATGATTTTAAACTTAAACAGATCAAAAAAAAATCTAATAAAAGAATATATAATTAGTTAGTAATTATAATTTTCATGCTTTAATATTATTACCAGCCTATAGTATTTATTTACTTTATATATAAATGATTGTAATTAAAGTAATGTTATGAAAATAAGTAGCTATATATAAATTTTTATTTCAATAAATTATAATATTAATTTTGTAAAAAATATTTTCATATTTTATATAATTAAAAAAAATATGAAATCTGTTATTTTGAGATAGTATAAAATAACAGAATAAGTAGTTTTTTATAAAGCTTTGTTGTTGTTTTAATAAAGTTGATTTTTATTGGTGAGTTTTCAAAAATAGGAAAATTTATATTATATATTTCTATCTTTTTATTATTAATAATTAATAAATTATTAATAAATTTTATTTATTGAATCAATCAAATGAAGATAGAGAAGAAAAAAAATTATGTAAATTAAAACTATTTTATAAGACTTTTTATTTTTAAAATAGTTGTCAACTTTTTTATTTTTTTATTTTTTTTATATATATAAAATAATATACAGATTCAATACAATTCAAAACAATAAAGCAAAAATGAATAATACATACAAATAACATAAATAACATTATGAATTTACTTTTCATGATAATCAATTTTTTAAAAAAAATATTGTAAATATAGAAACTTGTTACATTATATATATATCGTATAATAGTATGATTGCTATATAAAATGCAATATAAAATGAGATGATTATACGAAATTTTGTTGGAAAAAAAAAAAAAAAAAAAAAAAAACGAATTTTATTAGATTTTGATTTAAAAATTATTTGATTTTTCATTAATACATTCATTCTTATATCATGCATAAGCAAATCGTAATATTTCGATTATATCATAATATCTCGGTGATGAAAATTAATTATTAATGAGAAATTGTAATTTAATTATATTATTTCGCGCATGTAAATTAATATTATAATTATATATATATAACAAAATCGAAAAATTTCTATATAAAATTCTCAAAAATATGTCAAAATTATATATCATTCCTATAATTATAAATATTTTTATTACATATTGATTAGACTGATTTTGTAATGTAAACAATGACTATTTTAATGATAATTTAATGATAATTTAACAATCTAATAATAAAATATTTCGCATTTGGTAAATAAATTTATTAATCACTCATTAAATAATTCTTTAGTTAATTTTGTAGATATGGAGAAATATTATATCATAAATATTATATTACATACATGGTTGAAATAAAAATTATTCTATAAACAAATAATTTACTTACATTTTTTTCATCAATAAGAAAATAGCATTTATTATAGTATATAAATATCTAAATACAAAATATAAAAAATATAATAAAATAACAAAATATAAAAAAAAATTATAAATGAATTCAAAAATTAAATTTAATTTGAAAAAATTTTTCTTTTTAAAAAAAAGAATTAAATTACGATTCATAATTACTTTGAGATTTTTTATCTTTGTGATAATTAGAATATGATGTAATAAAAAAAATTGATTTTGAATTTCAATATCAAAATCATTTTTTAACATATTTTTATTTATAGATTTTCTCCAATCCAGAGATATAGAATGATGCTATAATGTTTTTTATATTAACTTTTATACATTCTGTACAATGCAATGTAAAATATTTTTCTATTTATCACAGTATAATATAATATAATATAATAATTTTATTTTTTAATTTTCATCTTTATCTTGTAATTTAATATAATTATATTTAAATATGTCAAAATCAAAATTTATTTTAATTGATGATTATTTTTGATTTCATATTAAAAAATATATAAATTCAAACATTTTATATATAAAAATTAGATATATAGATTATTAATATATTCATAGAATAATAATAATAATTAACAATGAGATTAATATTATACAAAAATGTCAATTAAGATGTCTTTATTAAATAATTATATATAATTGAAATTTGAGATTTTTATTTTTATTATATTGTTATGTTACTTTATCTTTATTCATTTCATATAAGTCATATTGCTTATAGATTAATCAATAAATCTTAACCAACATTTTTATATCAATTTTCGTATTTGTTTTAATCTGTAAAATCAATCCTTCAAAATTATTCTAGAAATATATATGATATTTTATGTATTGAAATGATATTGATATTGATCACATATAATTTGATTCTATTAAATTCTATTAAAAAAAAAAAACAAATTACAACAGTTTGATGTGTTCACATCAAATATTTTTTTAATTTAATTTTTAATCGAATTTAAAACCGTTTTAGCATTAATTTTAATATACAGAACTTGATATTATATATAGTGTAGTAAATTTTTATTAAATAAATTTAATAAAAATGCAAAATGTTATTATGAATATTATTTTTTCCACAATTTCAATGCTTTTTTCAACTTTTGTCTGCTTAAAATTAAATTAAATAATTACTTATATTTTTAGTTTTCATGTAATATCTTATTTTTGGATAAAATTATCCATTCTTACAAAATCTCAAGTTTTTCAAAATTAGTAATGAAATATTTCATATTTAAAGTGGAAAACAATCTATTATCATTTAATCAATATTATAAAATAAAATTTTTTGTTAAATAATAATAATTATTATATTAATACTTACAGGTGAAAATACATGTACATTAGAAGCATTCTTCTTATAATTAAGTATAAACTCTCGAGCTTCATTAATTATCTATTTAAAATAAAATCATTAGTTATAAAATAATGATTAAAATGAATAAATAAATTTTAATAATATATGACTTACTTTAAATCCTATATTTGTTCCTTGTTCTACAATAATTAAATATCGTTCTGTTTTATTCCATAATTTTAAAATTGTTTCAAGACGAGATATTTGATTTGGTAATTCTAATAAAGAATATGCACTTACTACAATGTCATAAGTTGGCTATAATATAATATAAATAATATATTTAAATCTTATAGATTATATTAATAATCTATTTTAGATATTTCAATGTAATATAAGTTATATTCTTACAATTGGAGATGCAGGAAAAAATTGTCGATAAAAAACATAATTTGTATTAATTTTTGGTGTAGCATTTTTTATAAGATATTCAGATAATTCATTCATATCTCGAGAAACATCAACACAATAATATTCCTTGATAGATTTATACCAAAATTGTGAGGCTGCCCTAATAAAATTAAATTTATATTTTTTTAATATTTTTATTGCAATATTTTTAAATAAAAATTATTTAATTTTATATATATTTTACCATATAACTGTGCCAGTTCCTGAACCATAATCAAATAATGTTTTTGGTATAAAATTTTTATCACTATTAACAATTTCATTAAAAATTTTATATAAAACAGAATATTCAGGTACACTTCTACTAATTAAATATGCTAAACTAATGTATTTATTATATGAAATTGGTGACCAGTTATATATAAGACTTTTAAAAAGCTTAAGAGCTTTTGAATTATTAAGTATATCATTTTTATTTAAATTTTGTGCTTCATGAATATGTGGATATATTCTTGACTGCACTTCTTGTAATTTTAAATTAATATCTTCTTTTTCTGGTGGAGGATGTCTATTATTCAAATGTGTTGCTAATTTTTTACTACTTTCATTAATCATCTTTGATGAAATTGTTACATCTATATAAATAAAAATTTTTAAAAATTACTTTTTAATTTTTATCTATAATAATCATAAATATTATATTCTAATAAAAAATATATTTTTTATAACTTATTACCATGCAAAATGTTTTTAATTGTTTTTATAAGCCAACTTGGTTGTTCTACTCTCTTAAGCTTTATTATACCTGGATGTCGTCTATGTTTAAATTCATTGTTTGAAATTAATTCATTTACAGTATCTATAATTTTCATTTTTTGTTTTGTTGAGTACTAATAAAATAAAATAAAATCAATATTTAAATTTAAAATCATATATTGAAATAATTATTAATAATTCATAAAAAATAATAAACTATAATTATTATCAAAAAGTAAATAGAAAATATTTTTACTTACCCAACGCATTTTATATCTCAAAAATGTTAGTTTTATTGACATAATTAATAACCTTATTCAATATTAATTCTTTTGTGATGGAAAAATTGAATATAAAATAAAAATATAACAAAACATAAAACTTTGTTGATGTTGATTAAAATTATAATACAAATGTTTAAAATCTGTCGAATTATACTAAATATAATAATGATATTGCAATATGATATAGTATATATACTATAACCTCAAATCAATTCTACACTGAAATATCTATTATACTGTACAACATATTTTTCCAAAATAATTTACGGTTCTTTTTAATAAACTATTTAAAACTTAGTTATTATATATATTAGCGCAGTTAATAAAATTGAAATATTACGGTTATCAAGTTAATTAATTCATAAAGAAAATGAAATTTGCAGAGCATTTAAATGCTCACATTACACCAGAATGGAGAAAACAATATATAAATTACGAGGTAAGATAAAAACTTTCATCTTCAATCCTATGTCAATTTTATAAATTGTGTAGTAATAACTATATTAAATTTAATAAAAATTTATATTATAAAAGGAATATTTTATAGGAAATGAAAGCATTGCTCTATGCAGCAGTAGAACAAGCACCAGCTGCAGATATAACAGAATCACATATATTAGAACGTTATTTTAATAAATTTGATGAACAATTTTTTCATTATTGTGATAAGGAGTTAGCAAAAATAAATACGTTTTATTCAGGTAAATTTTATACAATTATTATAATATTATTATTTTTTGAATTTTTTATAATTTATATTAAAATATGTTTTTTATCTATTTTATTAGAAAAATTAGCAGAAGCAACGCGTAGATTTGCAACTCTCAATAATGAATTAAGTGAAATTCTATCTACTTCTGAAAATGGACAAGGAAGTCATAAAATCCATTATCATAATAATATTTTGCATAAAAAGCCAGTTTCAGCACGAAAACTTCAAGAATTAAAATTAGCCTTTTCTGAATTTTATCTTTTTCTCATTTTACTTCAAAATTACCAGAATCTTAATTTTACTGGATTTAGAAAAATATTAAAAAAACATGATAAAGTATGTAAAAACAATTAATGTATATAAAAATTGATATTTATATTAATTAATAGAAACTGTTATCCTAGCTTTTAAATATAGATCTTGGAGCAAAATGGAGAGCAGAACATGTAGATACAGCATTATTTCATACTCATAAAGATATAGATAGACTCATTGCAGAAACAGAAGCATTGGTTACCAGAGATTTAGAACATGGAGATAGACAACGTGCTATGAAACGTTTAAGAGTCCCTCCTCTTGGAGAACAGCTTTCTCCATGGATTACATTTAAAGTGGGACTTTTTTCAGGAGCTTTTATTGTTCTTCTTATAGCAGTAATACTTTCAGGCAAAATTATATTTTTATTATATAAAATTTAGATATATAAAAATAAAAATAAATCAATATTTTATTTTATTTTATTTTATTTTATCTATTTTATAGGTACACGTTACAGGAATAATAATAATTGGCGAGTTTTATGTAGATTATATCGTGGACCACTTCTTATGATTCAATTTCTTTTTCTTATGGGAATCAATGTATATGGATGGAGATCTTCTGGTGTAAATCATGTTTTAATATTTGAACTTGATCCTCGAAATCATTTATCAGAACAGGTTGTATTCTTTATTTATTGTTTATATATAAATTATTGATATATAATATATAATATATTTTCAGCACATTATTGAAATGGCTAGTGTGTTTGGATTAGTTTGGTCTTTATCAATTTTAGGTTTTTTATATAGTGAAACATTGGGAATACCACCATTTGTTCAACCTGTAATATATAAAATATATTTTTGTAATATATAAAATTGTTAAACATACATGTATATAAATAATATTTTTTCAGATGTTGTTATATATATTACTAGCTTTGTTTTTGTTTAATCCAACGAAAACATTACGTTATGAAGCTAGATTTTGGGCACTCCGTGTATTGGGTAGAATATTTTGTGCGCCATTTTTTTATGTTGGATTTGCTGATTTCTGGCTAGCTGATCAACTTAATTCTCTACATACTGTTTTCTTAGATTTTCAATATTTTGTTTGCTTTTATGTACAAAATTCTTCGTGGACCATTGTCACTGGTTTGTAATTAAATATTATAATTGCAAATTTTATTATTTATTTTAAAACTTAATTTTTTTAGGAAAGTAATTATCTAATTATCTAATGCATTTTTTGATAGATGCGGAAACTTGTATTATGCGCGAACTTTCAATGAGACCATTTGTGGCTTGTTTGCCAGCATGGTTCCGATTTGCACAATGTTTACGGCGATATAGAGATACAAAAGAAACTTTTCCTCATCTTATAAATGCAGCAAAATATGCTACTAGTTTTTTCGTTGTAGTATTTTCTTACTTACATTTAACTAATGCTAGTAAGTATTTTTTATATATAATTAACATAAGAATTACATAGAAGAATATATATATTTTTATAGAGTATTATGTATTATCTACTGAAAATCCTTATTTTTATTTGTGGATAACTGCAAGTATTATGAGTTCTTGTTTTACATATACATGGGATATAAAATTAGATTGGGGATTATTTGATAGTAATGCAGGAGAAAACAAATTTCTTAGAGAAGAAATTGTTTATTCTTCTCCAGTAAGTTTGATTGCTTATTATTATATTAATTAAAATTTAAAAAATAATTTTATATTTGTATAATAATAATATTTGTGTTTTAGTATTATTATTATTTTGCAATAATCGAAGATTTTATACTTCGTTTTGGTTGGGCATTTTCATTATCTCTTACTGAAATGGGATATGTACATGCAGATTTAATGGTTTCTATAATTGCACCATTAGAAGTATTCAGGTAAGTTAAAAATAAATTGATATTACTAGCAATAAAAATACATTTTTAGAAATCATAATTATTTGCTGTACATTTAATGTGTACAAAATATGTAATATTGCACATCATTATAAAGAATGTTCCAAAATTCACGCAATTGATTTGAATTTTGCGCCATTTATGTGGTAAAGTGTTGTCAATGAAAAAAAAGACAGCATGACACTTCAAGATTATTAAAAATGAAATGCCATACGAAAAAACAACGCGTTTTTATTGTTAAGCAATATTTTAAAAATAAGGTTTGGCAACTATAGTTCGCAATTTTCGTACAAAATATGGTCGGAATAATGATTTAATTTCATTAAATGTGAAGAGATTAATTAAAAAATTTAAACAGATTGGATCAATTAGACTGGATTTTAAACATTCTGGCTATCCTTCAACAAGTCGTTCAACACAAAACATCGAAACAATTCGTGAGAGTATTGCTGAGAATTAGAGGGACATCAATTTGGCACCGTGGTGAACAATTGGACATTTTGAGAAGTTCTCTACAGTATTTTCACGAAACATTTGTATCTTCATGCTTACAAAGTTCAATTAATCCAAGGACTGAAGCCTACTGATACGCAATAAAGCTCCTTGATAGCGAATAAAATTCGTTGAATGGATTATGGAATAATAACAAGTGAATGCTAATTTTTCGAACAAAATCATCTTCAGCAATGAGGCTCATTTTCATCTTGATGGATTGATCGATAAAATCGACAAAATCGTCGTATTTGGGATTCAGAAAATCCACAAGTGATTGTTGAGAAACAAACGCATCCATAATATTTGGTGCAGATTTTGAGCTGGAGACATCATCGAACCATTCTTCTTCGAAAATGCGATTAGTCAGGCAATAAGTTAATAGTGCACATTCGCATCGTGACATGATCCAATTTTTTGTATCTAAATTGTAAAATATGAATATGGACGACATGTGATTTCAATAAGACAATGCCACATGCCATACAGCCTGAGAAACAATTCAATTATTGCATGAGTCATTTTCTTTGTGCGATTTAACGCCATTGACTTTTTTTTTGGGATTTTTTGAAATCTAAGATTTATGCCGATAAGCCCACGATCATACTTTAAAGAAGGAAATTGAGCGCTGCATCATCGAATGTAAAATAATCATAGAAAATTTTAGCCAAAGAGTGCGTATCTGCATTATGTGTACAGCAAAACCGTGGAGGTCATTTATCTTGCTATTCCATACATAATCTTATATTGTATATTTTATGAATCAATAAAAAATTTACAATTTTTAATTATAAATCTGTGTTTTTTATCAAAATTACTTCTTGCGTGAATTTTGGAACATCTTTTATAATATATCGTTTTTAGTGAAGCTTGACATTTTTCGCTTGCATGAGATTTAAAATCATTGTACATTTCAGTCAGACAAGATTTATTGAGTGGAACTAATAAATTATAATAAATAAATAAAATTTTTGTTTTCGATTTTTATCCTTGTTTTATTCATTTCCTTTCTCACTTTCTTTTCTTTTATTTTAAATTTTAAATAATTTTTATTTTAATTTTAAATTCAATTTATTTTGTCTTTTGGTTTATAATACACAAGGATATTTTTAATTATTATTAATTATTATTAGTTTAATAATATAATAGTAAATATTTTAATTTATCATAAGCAATATTTTGTATCAATTTGCCTTACTAATCAGTTGATAGAAGGTACATGTGGAATTATTTTCGTCTGGAAAACGAACACCTATACAATGTAGGCAAATTTCGAGCAGTTCGAGACATCTCCATAGGGCCTTACAGACGCAATGAAAATGATGAACCGAAGGCGGCTATACGTCTTATGGATTGTACAAATAATGACGGTGATGAATCGACGGCATTTGAAATTGTCAAATGTGATCATTGAAATTGTCATCTTGTAATTGCATCTTTTATTCGTATATACTTTAATTTGTAATTGAATTTTATATTTATAAAGAACAGTCTATTTATAAACATAATCATTTACATATAGATAAAAAACATAACTTTCATTAATGAATTGAATTTCCTCTTCCTTATTTGTATATTGCATATTATTTTGCATGGTCAGCATGTTGAGTCAACTAATAGTTTAATTTATGCTTTTATGCTAGTATTTATATATTATTTCGTTATATTTGGAATTATATATAATAAATGATAATGATCAATTTGATTTCAAAATAATATTTGCTCCTTCCTAATAGGAGATTCATATGGAATTTTTTTCGCTTGGAAAACGAACATTTGAATAATTGTGGCAAGTTTAGAGCGGTCAGAGATATATCTGTTGCCCCAGTTGATTGCTCTGATCAATCTCAAATTTTAAGAATGATGGATGCAGCAGACGGAGTAATCAATCGAAAAAGAAAACAAAAGATAGTGGATAAAAAATCCTTACGCGCGTTTTCTAAAGGTGAATCTCTGATTTGTGATCTTGATACATAATTAAAAAAATTAATGGATTCACAAAAATTGTTGTTAATTTCTTGAAAATTGAGTGTTAATTTCTTTCTTTCTATAAATGTAAAGAAAACAATGATTTTATTAGTCATATAGTATAAAGATACATTATATCAAAATGATTCTATTATTTAAGTAAATGTGAAAAATGTATAAATGTCGTCAATCATTATAGTACAAATATATATATAAGATATAAAATATATAAGAATAATTATATATATATATA